TGAAAAGAAGATTGTAAAGGGGCAAGGGGTCAAGTGCTATGAATGTCAAGGGTATGGTCATATTGCCCTTGAATGTCCTTCGAAAAAGAATCGAAAGAAAATCTACACTATGACCTGGGATGATGAAAGCGGGTCGGAACAAGAACCTGAAGAACCTGAATCCGGTGAAGACGGGGATAGTGTTTTTATGGCATTTTGGTCCACTTTCACTCAACCTCTTCCAATGCCAGCAGAATTAGCTCGTGGTCAGAACCTACGTCATGCTCCCACCTTTGATGGGAGTAACTACCTGTATTGGAAGATCATAATGAGGGCAGAAGGCTGGCAAGCCATTGAAGAAGATACAAAAAGTGCTGACAATCCGAGCAATTAGAGAGCCCTGATTACTATTTGTGGAGCAATTTTTGATAAAGAAAAGCAATGGGTTGCTCACTGCACAAAGGCTAAAGATGCATGGGAAATTCTGAGCCAATTTCATGAAAGAGGAGATTCACTCTCACCACCATCCAACAACTTTCCTGCCTTAGTTGCTAGATTGGATGACGTCTAATCCTGCGATAGAACCTATAGTCTTGGTTTATCGTATTACTGATTATTTCTTCCCCTATTGTCGTACTTCCATGTTCCTCATTTAACAGTTTCTCAAAATAATTCTTCCATCTTTCCTTAATCTCATCGTCCTTCACCAATACCTTAGAATCCTCACTCTTGATGCACTTTACTTGATTAAAATCTCTTGTTTTCCTCTCCCGTATCTTAGCAAGTTTGTATACCCTCTTCTCTCCCTCCTTACTATCTAGTCTAGTGTATAGGTCATCATAAACTTTCAACTTAATCTCTCTCACTACTTTCTTGACCTCCTTATTAGCCAATCTATAGCTCTTAAGGTTTTCCTCAGTTCTATCCTTCTGCTACTTTTTAAAGCACTCTTTTTTTGACTTAACTACCGTTTGGACCTCTTCCCTCCACCACCAAGTTTCCTTAGAGCTGGGTCCCGTTCCTTTCGACTCTCCAAATACTTCCCTTGAGATTCTCCTCATACAATTGGCCATCGAATTCCACATAGTGTTAGCATCACCTTCTAAGTCCCAAGTACCTTCCTTATCCATTTGATTCTTAAATATTTCTAGTTTATTCTCTTTTAGGTCCCACCATCTCGTCCTACGACGCCCACCATCCTTCCTGGCTTGGTATTACCCTCTAAAACATAAATCTAGTACCAAAATCTTATGTTGAGCGACCAGACTCTCTCCAGGAATCACCTTACAATCATTGCATTTTAGGCAGTCTACTTTTCTCACTAAGAAATAATCTATTTGGCTCTTAATTAATCCACTCTTAAAGGTTATCAAATGCTCCTCCCTCTTCTTATACATAGTATTGGCCACCACCAGGTCAAAAACCAACGCAAAATCTAAAATATTCTCTCCAGCCTCATTTTTGTCACCAAAATCGTATCCACCATGCACCCTTTCATAACCTACTTTATCTATGCCCACATGGCCATTAAAATCTCCACCTATAACCAGGTTCTCTCCTACGGGTATCTCCTGTAAGATCTCATCCATTTGCTCCCAAAAATCCCTCTTAGTCTGATCATCTAACCCTACTTGAGGGGCGTAAGCGCTAATAATGTTCACTATATTCCCTCCAATAACTAGTTTAACTAGCATAATCTTATCTCCTTTCCTAGTGACTGCCACCATACTTTCCACAAGACCCTTGGCAATTATAATTCCTACCCCATTCCTGCGTCTATCCTTACCACTATAATAAAGTTTAAAACCAGTATCCTCAATTTCCCTAGCTTTCTTTCCCGTCTGCTTAGTTTCTTGTATGCAAGCTATACTAACTCTCCTCCTAATCATAACATCTACCAATTCTATCGTCCTACCAGTTAAGGTTCCTATGTTCCAAGTGGCTATCCTAAACCTATAGTCTTGGACTAGCTTCTTTACCCGCGCTCGTCCAGAAAAATGTGGAAACTTTTGCCCATTTTTCACCGCACCCAGGCGTCGATGCGGCGCCCCTTGCTCACTTTTCGAAACACTCGGAGGCAGGCGCAACTCGTCACTTGAGGGGAACGACCTAGCATTTAAACAATTCAAAGTAGGATTCATTTTCATAAGGGATCCGAGCGGCTTTTTTACGTGTTGGCATCTGCTCAAGCCGCTTAGCCACGATCTTAACCTGCATAGATCAGTGCAGGGTGGTGCAAATTGGCAGGTCAGCCAGTATTTTTCACACCCCCGGCACCCATGGCACAATGGTCCCACTTATGGTAGGGTCTAAGAGAGGTAGCAAGTAAGCAACCTTGCCCTCTTTTTTGCTTTTTTGTCAAGAGTTTGATTCTCATGACTCAAACCTTTGCCATAGCTCTGGGGTGAATAGCATTAACCATCACGCTAGGTCACGACCTCTATAAGAGTCCCTCTTAGTCTTTGTTGGCATAATTACCACCAAAAAATAAATATAGGGCAAAAAAAAAATATTGAGTCAGAAAAATCATCACTATGAGAAGACACCAAATTTAATGTGGTTTGACTTACTCAGACTATGTTAGTGGATCTTTCCTCTTTGTCCATTATATTAAATCACGTGATTACACATCATCCACTATTACTAAAATAATAGTGGTCACACAAATAAAGGATTTATACAAAGCGGACTGAGGCATGGTAATATCGCTTTCTTTAAAGAGATTCAAGCCCTCTACGGCTAGTAAATCCTTCAAACCATCTGGTGCAATAGACCATCTCAAATGGCTTGTCTTCCCCATGATACAACAACCGGACCATACGTCGTGTTGGTTTAAGCCATCTCTGCACAAGAGCCCAAGGCTCCACCATAGAAACACCCTTACAAATTGCCTGAAATCTTTCTGTAAAAGCATAATAGAGAATATAAATAATGACAGAGGCATGTGATCACACATACTCTGCCTTAGCTTCTTCTCTACAAAAGCTCAACAATATATATAGAAGATGATAGCTACACAATGGAGGCAAGATCCACAAATCATTATGACTTTCTCACCATACATTAATTCACAACATTCATTTTCTCCTACACATTTTTCATCTTCATGTTTTCCAGCACTTATTAATTCAAACACTATTGAATATTTAATATTTACTATTGTCTTTTTGACTTTACTCCACAATGCGATAATGGTTCACTATTTACCTTTTGATTTACCTCCCCTTTCTGTTACTTATTTAATGCATGTGGATATGAAAACAATGTCAAATACAGAAACAATAGTTTAGTAAATTTATTTTAATATTAAAATACACAAACACCAACAATATCTATGAAAATTCTCATGAATGAGAGCTCTCTTCTAAGATCTCTAAGAACCTTCTTAGCTATCATATCAAGCAACTAAAGGGATGTCATATCATTAGTGTTCTGATTATAATATATTTGACATTATATAGTACAATGTTTTTCTTGCTTGATTTTTGGCCTTCAACTTGGATAAAGGATCTATTTGCTGTATGCTGGGATATGATTTTTTTCATGTTGAGCTGAATAATACATTTAGATTAATGGCCTAGATTGGTGAACATTTTTTGATTGCTAGTTTTAGTTTATATGATTTTCTCTGTTAGTGCCTATATGACTGGTAATTATGTGTTTAAAAAAAAAAGAGGAAATACGTTGGCTCTGATTCAATAGGATCATCCAAGTCCACAAGAAAACTAGAAATGCAACGACAACTTAACTGTGTAGATGATTTACAAATCATTTATTTTCGATAGATGTAGAAGTTTAGTTAATCATGTTGATGAAATTATGATGACCTTTTCTATAATAATTTCAGTCACAGCATTGCACACCTTCAAGCAAAGTTTGATTGATCCAAATCAGAATCTCAGTAATTGGAATCGTGGAGATCCATGTATGTCGAATTGGACAGGGGTTTTGTGCTTCAATATGATCATGGATGATGGCTATCTACACGTTGAAGAATTGTATGATTTCAGTCTTTTCCTAATTATTTGTCCCTGTCCTGGAGGTTTGAACATGGATTTTTTGAATCGTGTATATAGGAAAGTAAGCTGGCAGTAACATATCCTGGCTTACACACCACTGGTACATTCATCAAAGTTTATAGCATATGTATAGGGATCTTCCATCTTAAGCCAGGTTATGTAGGAGGAAGATGTTAAAAAAGGATGTTTATTTGCAGATTATATTATATTCATTTTTAGTAAATTTGTCACTTCTTGGTCAAAGAGAACAGATACGATGGTTAGATATTTAGCAGAAACTGTCCGCCTAGAAGTTATGTTCCTGGATAATGTTGCTGAAAGACTCACTAGCTTATCCCAAATTATGTCCCTAGAAGCTATGAAGCATGGCTACTCCAAAAATATTGTTGTACAAGTACTAGGTACACTTACTGGGTCCGCAAAATATGTATCGGTACGCGACTTTGAGTACAGCTTGGATACTGGGTGGATAAAAGATGGTCACGTTTTGGATACTTTTGTGGGTACATCGAGTCATAAATATATATTTTTAAAAAATTGTAGGGGTGTGTTAGCCAAAACACACTATTGAATCCTTCAAAAAGGACCACGTTGCCTAACATATGGCAAAATTGAATTCCTGAAAGATCATCTTGTTAGATAAATAAATTTTAAAGTATGGAAAACTATAAATGTATATAAGTTTTACAACAAGAAGTTAGTAAGTTTGCTAGCTATAAGCCTTCCTTTATGTTTTTACTATTGCATGAACCAAGGGTTCTAAGTAATATAGTAGAAGATGTAAAGACAATATGATTTGTTTAAATCTGATGTAACGATATATACCTATTGCTAGAAATTGTGTTCATGCATATAATATGATAGTGGTGTTGGTGGTAGATAGTGGCATGTATACTACAGAATATGAATCTGTCAGGCAGTTTATCTCCAGAGCTTCATCGCTTATCTTATATGAAAAGATTGTGAGTCAGAGTATTTGTGGAATGTTTACCATTTAATCGTATAACTTGGTGCTGCTTTTGCTCTATCAATCCTCCGTAGGGATTGTGTTTTTTCTACTATACAAGTGGATTGTAATTTTCGTTTGTTGACTGACATATGTTCTTTTCTTTTGCTCTTAAAGGAATGTTATGTGGAATAAGATAAGTGGAAATATACCGAAGGAGATTGGCAATATTACATCTTTGATACTCTTGTAAGTTGAAGTAGTTGTTTGATGGGTTGGCTAGATATTCATATTCCATATTGTTTACCATCTGATCAAATTCTAGTATTATTAAGAAATCCCCTAAGCTAATATGTTCATACATATAGAATGGCTTCTCATTTATACTTATCAGGAAAGAAATAAATTTTTATTTCTGAATTGTTGGAGCTTCAGATATCTGATCAAATATAATATATATAGACATAGACATCAATATATTTCTTGCTTGGTAATTGAGTTGTGAGAAAGTGCACCATATTTTTGGATGTTCCTCATTCTGTATGATCTTCTATTTTCCAGGCTCTTGAGTGGAAATCGACTCACAGGTTCCTTGCCTGAAGAGATCGGTTATCTTCCTAATTTAGACAGAATTCAAATTGACGAGAACCAAATATCTGGACCAATACCTAAATCATTTGCGAACTTGAACAAAACAAAGCATTTGTAAGGATTTTGACTCTACCTATAGCCTAGATAAGGCTGGCTAGTTGTTGCTTCTCTTTATCTTCTTCACTGTGATTTATTATTTGTTATTATTACTATTGTTTTTGTTGTAATTAGTGTTTACTATAATTGATATTGTTATTGTTACTTCATCCCTTGAGCAGCCACATGAACAACAATTCAATTAGTGGGCAAATCCCGCCTGAACTGTCTAGTCTCCCAGAACTCGTTCACTTGTAAGTTGGTAATTTGTTGCGTTTACTTGTAATGTGGTAATGTGGTGTTCTTTTACTTCAAATGCATTTGGACATTTGGCTTGTCTTTAATGATGTAAAATTCTGCAGGCTACTTGACAATAACAACTTATCAGGGTATCTTCCACCAGAGCTCGCCAATATGCCTAAACTACAGATAGTGTATATTTTCTTGCTTCAGTAGTTATTAGAATACAATTTTCACTTTATTAGCTTTTAAAATTTTGCATTTTCTTAATTATTTAACTCAAATGCTTTTTACATTTGTGATGTAATAGTTAATCATGGATGAAATAGTGTTTTTTTATTATTTTAAATGATGCTTAAAGTTTAGATTTAGTGGGAATTAACAAATAAATATATATTTTCATATCTTAACTTTTTAAAAATACCCTTGTTAGTGCCCGTGCCCGTGCATCTTAGTTAGCAATAAGGGTATGGCATTGTAATCTGGCTATAGTGCCAATGTGAATACAAGAATAAGTGCATTACATGTTGTACATGTTATATATATCAAGAGTAAACCCCATGTAGCTGGGATCAAAGTTGTGTTACCAGAAAACACTATATCCTAGCGAATGATTTATCTGTACTCACATTCTGAAACATGGTACACTTTCGTTCCAAAATAGTAAATTTTTTAGCGATCCCAAAAGTTTTTTCCAATACATTTCCTTAAATAACCTTAGGAGGAAAAAAATCAAATATAATGAACTAAAATCTAAGGTGAGTTAAGTTTTGAAAAGACAAAAACATCAAAAAGGGTCATCATAAATTGCTCATAGAAATGTTTTGCTACATGACCACACACACAAAAACAAAAATAAAAATAAAAATGATTGAATGCATAATAGTTAAAAGAAAATTACTTTAGAAGTACCGTAAATTCTTAAGTGTAACATATACAAGTCAACCCCTATCGTACTACATTTTAGAGCATGTGGTGTACATTTTAGAGCACGTGGTGTACTGCATTACTGTTCCCCGTTCCACGTACTGGAAATATCCACATTCCAAGTACCATAGGATCAAAGGCTTTTATTGAGTTGGTGAGCACAATGCATTAGTGAAAGAAGAATATACACGTGCATCTATATGGGTGTAGATTAGCTTTGGAATGTTGCTTTTTGCTTTTGATTTCCTCTTCATTATATCACTGAGGAAACATTTTTCCCCCGTTGAAAAAGCACATTAGTATCTTGTGTCTAATATCTCATAAGTTATCTTTTTTGGTTATTTGACAGTCAATTGGACAACAACCACTTTGATGGGGGGGCTACAATACCAGCTACATATGGCAACATGTCTCATTTGATGAAGTTGTAAGTGCATATAGTTTATATTTGATCTCTTAGGAGCATCTCCAATCCTTGCTCTATCCCTTTCAATCAAATTTGAGTGAAAATTTGATTAAAGCTTCGACATGATATGGAACACTTAAATCCTTGCTCTTTTTTTCATCAATTTTTTTGAAAACTTCCAAACTTATCATAAACCTGTTTTAACTATTTTTGATGAAAGAAAACTGTTAAAATTGATGTATTATTGATTGATGTTTTGATATTTTACAATGATTCCTAGCATCTCCAATCCTTGCTCTATCCCTTTCAATCAAATTTCAGTGAAAATTTGATTAAAGCTTCGACATGATATGGAACACTTAAATCCTTGCTCTTTTCTTCATCAATTTTTTTGAAAACTTCCAAACTTATCATAAACCTGTTTTAACTATTTTTGATGAAAGAAAACCATCTCCAATACTTGTTTTAAAATTACATCAAATTTGAATAAAAATACGAATGTTGGAAATTTGGTGAATGATCTGGTTAATTCCTGGTTTGGTGAAATTTTTTCCTCTCCCTTCATTTGATGCAAGTTTGGTGAAATGATTGAAGTTCACTTTTAACTGTTTATTCATCAAATTTGAATTTGATGAAAGAAGTTATGAGGATTGGAGATGCTCTAAGTACATAGAAAAAAGTCTAAAGCATGAGGCAAGGTGCCATGATCTCTATTTTGTTTTTGCTTGAGATGTAACCCAGGAGGCACGATGCTATAGCTTCATAAAGCCTTCTCTTTTTGTTTGAATTAAATTAAAAAACTGTAGTACAGTGAGGGGGAGAGAGAGGAGATTTCTTGATACATTGACTAGTTGTTGACAACCTTTCATTTCCTTGAAAGATTTATTTGTTTTTCTCATGAGATCAAGGAACATGCATTTGCACATGTTTCAGAAACTTTTAAAGATTGGTTGTGACTCAGTATTCTTGGCTGCATCAGGAGTCTTAGGAACTGCAGCTTGCAAGGACCAATCCCCGACATGAGCAGGATGCTGAACCTTTCTTATATGTATGTTCATGAATATCTATCAGACATTATGGAACTAATTATGTGCCAATGCTCCTCTTGACAGTTTACCATCATTTTTTGCAAAATAATTTCATATCTCATATGACAATAGGCTTCCCTGTTGGAGAAGCTACAAAAATCATGCTGAAAAAAGTTCGATGCCTGGTTATTTGAAGACAATTCTGTAGTCATTAATTTTTTTCAGCGTATATGCTTTATATATATGATTTTGTCAACTAATGATGACTTTTACATTTCAGTGACCTCAGTTCAAACCAGCTTAGTGGATCCATACCACAAGTTAAGCTTTCCGAAAATATCACAACTATGTAAGAATACTCCACCTTTGATGTTTTAGTGTTAATCTAATCATATTGCAATACTCTATACAGAGTATTAATAAGAAAAATTATACTTTTCAGAACTGAAAATACTAGTCATCTATGACACTGCCAGTTTTCTGGACTTATGCGTCAATCATTAATAAAAATTTTGCAGCGATTTATCAAACAACAATCTTAATGGAACCTTCCCTGGCATCTTTTCAGGCCTGCCTCAACTTCAGAAATTGTGAGCATTCTTCAACTTTTTCCCCCTTTTCCATATAAATTGCATGGTTCCATAAACAGTAATGTTTGAAACTATTTATTTGAATTACGTGTCTACTTGCTTTATTTTGTGTTCCATAAAATTTAGAGCTACTGATGCCTATGACTTTAATTATTTAATGGAATGATTGGGTTAATTTTGTATGTTATTTCATTTCAGGGCACTTGCAAACAATTCACTAAGTGGTTCTGTTCCATCCAATATCTGGGAAAATAGAACTTCTAATGGTACCGAGAGACTCATTGTGTAAGTTGTGTAAGACATGAAATGAAGAAGTCAATCATTTCCCACCCCACCCCCACCCCTACCACACTTGCATGTGTATGCATGTGTGTGAGCATGTGTACTCCCAAGCATTCTCATACTTGTTTTGCTACCAACACAGTTGAAGATTTGTTGCAAGTTTAAACATTCTCTGTTTGTGGTCCAACTTGTCAAATTTATTCTTAGACTTTGATGGGCTTTTGGTGAGGCTAGTTGATATTAATTTTTTCTTGAAAAGCTCTATGATCTTTGATACGGTAGGGATTTTCAAAACAATGTGTATGCGAGTGTGTGTTCACTTGTGCACTCTCAACCATCTCATACTTGTTTTATTATTGAAGATTTGTTGTGCGTTTAAACATGATCTTTTGTGTTCCAACTTGTCACTTACTTTCTTAAATTTTCATTTTTTTATTTTTATTTTTTACTTTTGATTTTGATTCATGGGTTTTAGGTGAGGTTAGTTGATTTCTTGAAAGGCTTTATGCTATGCCACTGGATTTTCAGAAATTTGTTTGTGTGGTCACATGTGCATGTGCACTATCAAGCATCTCATACTTATTTTGCTAATAACAAAGTCGTAAGATTTGATGCAATGTCAGGCTGCTTTTTGATACCCAGGTTGTAACTTTCTTTATTAGACTCTGACAAGTTTTAGGTGTGCAGGTGGTTGATACTTGTTTTGTTAACGACGATTTTGAAAATTTATTGCAAGTTTCTGCTTGCTGTTTTTGAGATCCAAATTGTAACTTTCTTTGTTAGACTCTGATAGGTTTTAGGTGTAAAGTTAGTTGATTGATATTGCCTTTGCTTGAAACGTTTTATGCTCATTGGTCTACAGGGATTTACAGAACAATATGCTTTCAAATATCTCAGGCAGTGATAACCTACCTCCAAATGTTACTGTTAGGTTTGTTTGCCATCTTCTTCCACACTGAAATGTTTCTTAATATAGATATGTTTCCTCTGTAAAAATCTTAGATTTTTTACTTTTTAGATTCTAGTTAAGTATTGATAGAGACATAGCAGGTTCATAGAGTAATGTTCCCTCTTGTCTGTTATTTGTTTAACAATTTGTAGGCTTCAAGGAAATCCAATATGCTTAAATACCAACCCGGTCCAGTTTTGTGGATCTCAGAATGAAAATGACAGTAATATCCAGAGCTCAACAAACTCCACTGGTGCTTGTTTCGTGCAATCGTGCCCACCCCCTTACGAATATGCCCCATCATCACTTGTACCATGCTTCTGTGCTGTGCCTTTGATCGTTGATTATCGGCTGAAAAGTCCTGGATTCTCAGATTTTCGGCCATACACCAATCTATTTGAGGAGTACCTAACCTCTGGTCTCGAGTTGAAGGCTTATCAACTTGACATTGCTACTACTCCTATGTGGGAAATAGGTCCCCGACTGAGAATGTACTTGAAGATTTTTCCTGTTTACATTGACAACACCACTCATTTATTCGATAGGAGTGAGGTTCTACGAATTCAGAGTTTGTTCACAAGATGGGAGATTCATGATAGTAAAATTTTTGGACCTTATGAGGTTCTCAACTTCATTCTGTTGGACCCTTATAAAGAAGGTTTGTCTCATAAACCTCATCTGACGGTTTTTGCTTTGGACTTTCTTGATATAGATATAATTAGTTATGGTCTTTGTATTTCTTTTTCTGGGGGAAGGTTGTCTAATTGTTTTTTCTGCTCTATGCCTCCATCTGAAAATATGGATAACCAAGATGTATATATATTAGTGTTGTTTTGCCCTGGCGTGGTGGTAAGAATAGGTTATGAAATTGCAGAAGTGGACATGTTTGTGCATAAAGAGGAGATGAATATGCCAATTTGTTGTAACTAATTACCAAATAAAAAATTAACAAGTTGATTATTTAGATTAATTCAATATACCAATTCCAATATCTCAATCATGCATAAATCATCTACAAAAATATGGTACTAATAAAGTAAAGACCATGAACATAGTGATATATGTAGAAAACCCTTGGGAACAACGACCCCCTTGGGTAAAAACCCACTGGCCACCCTGCTTGTCAAAATCCATGAGATCAAAAGTTTAATAAAATGACTCCAAATGACTTACAACCCAACCCTGAATGTGTTAGACTTTACTTTTTCACCTTCAAGCTCCTAAGTTTGAATTCTGCTTTCAAGTGGGTCTAACACTGTTGTTAGTCTCCCCTTGTCTAGATCTCCACTCCTCACTGCTCCAATTGCAATGACTAGTGGTCAAGAATAATCAATGTACCCCACTGAAACTATTGTTTATGATGCTTGGATCACAATATCGGATGATCACTCAGCGGGATAACATTCACCTAAAAAGCAACCACAAATACATCAATGCCATTCTAATCAACAAAATACACAGTCAAGTTTACCTACTTTCATTTCATATACAGATAGGAATGGACAGATGTTGCATAACTTTTAGGGGGGTTTTCTCATAATTTTAGTTTCTGTTGCAGCGGACCTCTCCTCTTCAAAATCTGGTATTAGCAAGGTAGCACTGATTGGCATTGCACTTGGGGCGATTGCAGGTGCAGTTACATTATCCGCAATTGTATCACTTCTTATATTGAGATTGAATGCGAGAAAACGCCATATATCTTCAAGAAGACATCTATGTGAGTATATTACGGTTACCATTATCTGACGTGGAAGTAAAATTTATCATGATTCTCCATTGTTTAGTTCCGAATTTTGGTAGTTGACAACACAAATTTCAATTTGTTGGCAATGGTGATCTTGTATTCTAATTATTGACAACAACTATAGTATGATACTGGGATTTATTAAAGCATATCCTCATATGCTTTATACTGGGGTGACTGTTATTTTTTTTCAGAGAACTGGGATCATTATTAAATTTATCATGATAGATTTTTCAGATGAAAAAGAAGCTGTTCTACAGACTATTAAATGTGTTGGAGATGCATGTTATGTTGGCATATTATAATATACTGGGATTTATTAAAGCATATCCTCGTATGCTTTATACTGGGGTGACTGTTATTTTTTTTCAGAGAACTGGGATCATTATTAAATTTATCATGATAGATTTTTCAGATGAAAAAGAAGCTGTTCTACAGACTATTAAATGTGTTGGAGATGCATGTTATCCTCCCTGAATTACTCAGAGCTGTAATTATATAACGTTGTATATGGCCATCTTTGATTGTTTTTAATTTGAAAACTTAAAAAGAATGGTTTTTATACATGGGCAAACTGTATGTAAGCACTTGTGTCTCACCATATTTTGGTTGCGTTTTATGATTTCTTATACTGCATGTTCAACCCTGACCATTAGGATTTTAAAATACCCAATATAAAATATTTGATTTACCATGGGCCTTACGGGCCTGTGGTATGCAGTTCACCTTCCAAAACACCAAGTGGGGGGCACAAATCCCATGAAGGTAGTTTCGTATATAATTTTTTTTAGCAGTGTGAAAATATAAATACACATAAACAAATATGTATATATTTATAACAAGTGCTTGTAGTTAGAATTACATTGTAAATTAACTGGAAGTTGTCTGAACCATACTTGATAAAGATCCTCTATTGTAATTCATTTGTGAAGGAGAAGGATTGAATTTGAGGAAGCTACATGATGTTATATCTGCATTTAATGCTTGAAAGAAAAACTTGGTTGTATTATATTTATTAGATGTATTAGCTATGTGTTGGCAATGAACTGAGGCAACTTGGGTATGATTCTGATCAAATAATTGATGGAGAACAAACAGAATCTCTAACCCAAACTAGCTATATGCCTATAAGATGGTTCATGAATTTCAACCCAAAAAATGTGTTGGAATAACACTATGTCATAAACATCCCTGTTAAACTATGTATTGACCCTTTTTTCCTGAATATTGGGATTGCTATGCATCGTCTTGTAATAGAATTATTGACTAACTGCTGTATTACAGCATTGGCAATTTGTAAATTGTAAACTAAAGGTTATGTGTTTGAAGGCTGGACAAGTGTATTGTGTTACTCAGCGCCTTTCCATTTGAAATGCTTTTAATGTGATATATGGGAATTGTAGTCCCTAAGACTAGGTCTGAATGCATGAAATAAAAGTGAAGATATATTAGCTTCCAAGAAATGGTTATCATCATATGTAACACTGACTTCACATTATATGTTTTTGCAGTGTCTAAGATCTCTTTCAACATTGATGGTGTAAAAGGTTTCACTTACGGAGAAATGGCACTACAACTCAGCGCCTTTCCATTTGAAGTGCTTTTAATGTGATATATGGGAATTGTAGTCCCTAAGACTAAGTCTGAATGCATGAAATAAAAGTGAAGATATATTAGCTTCCAAGAAATGGTTATCATCATATGTAACACTGACTTCGCATTATATGTTTTTGCAGTGTCTAAGATCTCTTTCAACATTGATGGTGTAAAAGGTTTCACTTACGGAGAAATGGCACTTGCAACTAACAATTTTCATGCTTCCACTCAAGTAGGACAAGGAGGGTATGGGAATGTCTATAAAGGTATTCTAGCTGATGGCACAGTTGTGGCCATAAAACGTGCACAAGAAGGATCATTGCAGGGTGAAAAGGAATTTCTCACTGAAATAGAACTGTTGTCAAGGTTACATCATCGGAACCTGGTTTCTTTGATTGGATACTGTGATGAAGAAGGTGAACAGGTACCTTTCTACTTACTTGAAAACTTAAATTCATATACACTTGCCTGTCTAGACTGCATTTTGGGAGTTTGAACACCATCCCATCAACCAAAAATCCAACCCTGTCAAAGATACTACCACTATTTGTTCCAAAAATGGGGAATAGTGTATATGTTGTGAGAATATTATATAAATATATTAGATTGTGTGAATATTAAATTGATTGTAGAATATAAATTTATTCTTATTTCCCTTTTTTGAGTATGTCTATATAACTTGGTTGTACTCTTTGTATTATTGATAATGGAATATATGAATTCTCTCAGAAAACTTACATATGTATATCCACCCTTCCATCTGCCGCTTGGCCCGTAATTAATGTTCATTGTTGAACAATTGAGCAACAGAGTCAACCTACTGACAAAATAGATGAGTGCATGTGTAGGAAATTGGGAAGTAGCTACTTCCATTACTTTGTCTCTTCTTTCAAAGTGACAGTAACCTTTTCATTTATTTCTTAACGATTGGTCTTATGCTTAACCTCCTGGAAATTAACAGTGTTCTATTCTTCTGGTCTTCTTTGAGCAAATATTTTATTTCTCTGCCCTCTATGGAAGCTTTTATTTTGTGCCAGGAAAATTGGTTAATTTAATTTGTCTTTCCCTTTTTGGCATATAGATGTTGGTTTATGAGTTCATGCCCAACGGTACCCTGAGGGATCAGCTATCTGGTATATTCTATAAACTTCTTTTAAGTTTGCTTCTTAGCAATTCGTCCTTTATTATTTATGGGTGTTCTTCTGGAAATACTAATTGGAATCATGAGTTAACCGGTGGCACTTGCTTTAGAACTCACAATTTCAATTAAAGAAATTAGAAACAGTAGAAAATGCTCTTTCGAATTTTCGAATCACCCAGGAAAATACTATTACCGTAGGAAAATTGACTGAAAAATACTGTCTTCAATTAAAAATTGCAGAAAATCTAGAAAATACTGTCTATAATTTTTTAATTACCCAGGAAAATATTATCACCTTAGGAAAATCCTCACTCTTCCTTTCTGTGCATGTGTAAGAAATTGAGGCTATATTATTAATATGTTAATTACTTGGTGCTTGCATATATGTTTTGATGTTTATGATACCACAGGTAAGCTTAAAGCGCCTATGAGTTTTGCCATGAGATTGAAAATTGCTCTAGCTGCAGCCAAGGGCATTCTCTATCTACATATGGAAGCCAATCCTCCAATATTCCATCGTGATATCAAGGCCAGCAATATATTGTTGGATTCTAAATTTACTGCAAAGGTTGCCGATTTTGGACTTTCACGGCTTGCCCCCATCCCTGATCTTGAAGGAACTATACCTGTTCATGTATCCACAGTCGTTAAGGGGACTCCGGTAAGCTTGACTCTTTTTTATGACACATCTTCACAGAACATTTGAAATCAAAGACAGTTTGAAGCAAAAGATTTTTATCCAAATTCATAGATCTGTAGTACGCCACAGATATGGGGATTGAGATATCGCTAACTAATGTTTATGATCAAGTCTCGGTGATATATTATAGATCATTAAAATATTATGTACTTGTGAGAGCCCTTTTTTTTTTGTTTTTTTTTGAACAGTACTTGTGAGAGCTTGATATGCATTGTTAGGCCCATTCTTTATAGCAGTTTAAGTTTTGGGGGTACTGGTCACTTAGCATGGTATTAGAGCTTTGGTTCTAAGAGGTCCTGGTTTTAAGTTTCCCCATGTGTATTTGTTTCCCCCTTCTATTGCCCATGTGAACTTTTTGTGTGTTTCGCGCATGCATTTGCACCCAGTTTGGTCAATATTTCTCTAAATGTGAGTGGCAGTTATACAGAAGGGAGGGTATGAGAGCTTTATGTACATTGTTGTGCTCTCCTTAACAACTTAAGCTTCTTTCGAGCCAAGTTGTTGTCTGCCACTCATTCAAAAGAATTGGACCAGTGTTACCAGAAACGCTAACATCCTAGCAATTTTAAGTTTTTGAACACACATTCCGAAACATGATACACTTCCTTTCCAAAATGGTGAATTTAGCGATCCAAAACGGTCCCATGATTTTGTCTATGTTTTTCATTAAAAGTTCATCTTAATAGGGAAAAAGGCAAATATAATGAACTATAATCTAGATGGAATGGAGTTTTGGATTGACAAAATGTAAAACAAATAGGTCATATTGTTCATAGAATTATGTTATTGCATGATTAGTTTAAAGAAAAATATATATATATAATATGGTGGATGTCAAATTAAGAATTCTACTCCTATCGTAACACATATTAGAGCACGTGGCGTACTACGTTCCCGTTCTCATTCCTCATACCAGAATGATCTGTGTTCTGGGTAACATAGATTCGGACTTAGGCCTCGTTTGGGAACCCTCCATTTTAGTCAAAAAAATCAAAAAGTTACTAAATTATCCAAAAAGCCAACAACTCATACCAAAAAGTCAAAGATTCTCTTTTCTCTCTACTTTTTGTACATCTTTTCGTAAAAAGCCAAAAAGTCATTCCAAACATACTAGTTTTTTTTAGCTCATATTTTAGCCAAATAGTCAAAAAGTTACTAAATTAGCCAAAAAGCCAACAGTTGTGTGTTTTTATGGGTCTGACAAGACTCTGTAAACTGTCCCGACATTGATTCCGGTTAGTTTCTACAAGGGTCCAGCAAGACTCCGTAAACTGTCACAACAACTGTCACAGCATTGTCTGCTACAACGGTCCGACATGACCCCATAAACTGTCTTCTACAACGGTCCGACATGACCCCCTAAAGTGTCCTCTACAACGTTATGACACCACCATCCAGTGTCTTCACCAATAGTCTGACACGACCATACAGTGTCTCTTATCCTCTTTTATTTTTATGTATTTTCTTGTTTTGTAACTCTCTCCAAACTCAAGTTGGCTAGTTCCTATCCCCCTTGAGTTTGCGGGGGGCTGTTAAAATTTATCACCTACTTCACCCACTTAAACCTACTCCACTAAACGTAACCCACTACACCCACTTAAACCTACTCCCCTAAACCTAACCCACTACACCACTACCACCTCACCTACTCCACTAAACCTAACCCACTACACCACTACCACCTCCACTTCACCTACTTCTTACCTACTACACACTCACCCTCTTCTATATATAGGAATCATGAATCATTGTAATAAAAATAATTACAAACATCAATCAATAATACAATTCTCTATTTCTCTTTATACATTAAATTTTCTACAGATACTACCACTATTTGTTCCAAAAATGAGGAATAGTGTATATGTTGTGAGAATATTATATAAATATATTAGATTGTGTGAATATTAAATTGATTGTAGAATATAAATTTATTCTTATTTCCCTTTTTTGAGTATGTCTATATAACTTGGTTGTACTCTTTGTATTATTGATAATGGAATATATGAATTCTCTCAGAAAACTTACATATGTATATCCACCCTTCCATCTGCCGCTTGGCCCGTAATTAATGTTCATTGTTGAACAATTGAGCAACAGAGTCAACCTACTGACAAAATAGATGAGTGCATGTGTAGGAAATTGGGAAGTAGCTACTTCCATTACTTTGTCTCTTCTTTCAAAGTGACAGTAACCTTTTCATTTATTTCATTGGGAAGTAGCCACTTCCATTACTTTGTCTCTTCTTTCAAAGTGACAGTAACCTTTTCATTTATTTCTTAACGATTGGTCTTATGCTTTAACCTCCTGGAAATTAACAGTGTTCTATTCTTCTGGTCTTCTTTGAGCAAATATTTTATTTCTCTACCATCTATGGAAGCTTTTATTTTGTGCCAGGAAAATTGGTTAATTTAATTTGTCTTTCCCTTTTTGGCATGTAGATGTTGGTTTATGAGTTCATGCCCAACGGTACCCTGAGGGATCAGCTATCTGGTATATTCTATAAACTTCTTTTAAGTTTGCTTCTTAACAATTCGTCCTTTATTATTTATGGGTGTTCTTCTGGAAATACTAATTGGAATCATGAGTCAACCGGTGGCACTTGCTTTAGAACTCACAATTTCAATTAAAGAAATTAGAAACAGTAGAAAATGCTCTTTCGAATTTTCGAATCACCCAGGAAAATACTATTACCGTAGGAAAATTGACTGAAAAATACTGTCTTCAATTAAAAATTGCAGAAAATCTAGAAAATACTGTCTATAATTTTTTAATTACCCAGAAAATTATTATCACCTTAGGAAAA